AAAGAAATATAGTCTTAAGGTATGCTATATTTATGGAATAAAGTGCTCAATATCAGAGATAGAGCGTGTAGGTGGCCTGACGATTGCATATAGCATGAAAACAGACAGTCGCCTCTAAGTGTTGACTTATGTTCACTTTTATATTTATATATATATATATATATATATATATATATATATATATATATAATTGTGTATTTTTTTAAAAAGTTTCGTTAAAACGACTGACAAGCTTAGATTTTTTTACTTAATGATTCTTATAATTTTCTCCTTTGCTAGACATAGTTTATGCAGAAATTATATCACTGATTATCGTGAAAGCAATATCACAATGCCGTATACGAGCTAATAGAGAGAATAGATTATCTACACAGAGGTTGGGCTTACTGAAAACCCATGTGTGCGTGTGTATGTATAAACAAACACACAGACCTTTACTGGTCTCTGGTCGTCGGATCTGATGAGGTAATTTAATTTATTGCCCCTTTAATCCCCATAAATAGCAATGAATTTTCTTTTCGTAGTTTTATCTGTCATTTCGACGTGGAGAAGCCAAACTCAACTCACGTCATGTCGGCAGAACGTGATTTCTATGAGCTTTTCCATATTTTCTCATCATCTTCATATAGAAGAGAGAGAGTGAGAGAGAGAGAGAGAAGGAGAGACAGAAGATGAGAGAGATCAACAGAATGAGATAGATATTTACAGAATGAGATAGATAGATAGATAGATAGATAGATAGATAGATAGATAGATAGATATAAATGGAATAAGATATAGAGAGAGATATAAAACGGAATAAGATAGAAAGAAACAAAATTAGATACTAACAGAACGTTATATATATATACATTTATATATATATATATATACACACACACATATATATATATATATATATATATATATATATATAGATAGATAGATAGATAGATAGATAGATAGATATTAACGGAATGAAATAGATATTAACAACATTATATATATATATATATATATATATATATAGATAGATAGATAGATATTAACAGAATGAGATAGATAGATAGATCGATAGATCGATAGATAGATAGATCGATAGAGAGAGAGAGAGAGAGAGAGACAGACAGACAGAAAATTTTGGTGAAGAGGAGGAAACTATATTATAGTGAATTATATATTTCACTAGTCACAATTTTTAGACTGTTACCTGTGTTCGCTCCTCAACTTCCGCGTATTAGATCGAAACACACAACTACTTTTTCCAGCATCCATAACTGTAGCGAGACGTAATTTGGGGCTTTTTACATGCTGGCGAGAATTCGAAAAAAAGGGGGTAAAAAGGTTTAGCGGAAGACACAGAGAAAGAGCAGGAGAGTCGATATGAGAGAGGAGGATGAGAGAGGGGAAAAATAAAATATTTGGTAAAGATTGAAATAAAGACCAAAGTAGAATTCTGTTTGATGCTTATTAATTCTATTCCTTTACTTTTACTGTCGTTCTTTTTACCTGGTTACATTGTCTTCTTGCGAACCGGCGGGTTACGCTATCGCCAAAATTCATATATATATATATATATATATATATATTGTGTGTGTGTGTATTTAGGCAGCATCTTTTCATTCATACGCGTTTCGTTAAATAATATAGACAAGTGTTGTCTATTTATTTTATGTAAATTCTTTTCATAACGTCTGATAAGTTTAAAAACATTATCATTGAACAAAGAAAGAAATTCACAATATTGATCCATATTTTTTAATACAATCTAACATTTCGGCTTTATATGTTGTAATTGACATCTTTGATAATGGCTTATGTAAGCTTAGAATGTATTAAAAAATATAGATCAATATTGTGGATTTCTTTCTTCGTTCAATGATAATGTTATTAACCTTATCAGACGTTATGAAAAGAATTTACATAAAATAAATAGACAACACTTGTCTATATTACTTAATGAGACGTGTATGAATATATATATATTAGGTTGGTGCAAAAATAATGACGTAATAATGTCGTTTTGACGTTAAAAATACGTCAAAAACGACATTGTTGCGTCATTATTTTTGCACCAACCTAATATTTCTATGTTTCTATTGCCTCTTGAATAAAGTCAAATGTCATGTTCAATTTTACATCGCTTTCCACACACACAACTCAACACACCCGCGAACGCGCGCACACGCAGATGAAGGCTTATATACGATGCAAGTAAAACAGAGTTTAGAGAATATTATAATAAAATATACAGGTATATAAATCTAAAAGATTTTGATTATTGTGTTATCCGATGTTATCTTTGCAATATTACTCTGATAATGAAATAAAACACCTTACACAAACATAGTTACTTCTCAACTAAAATTACTCCCTTGTCAATGCACTTAATACGGTGTAGAGTATAAGAAATATGGGTTGAAAATTATACAGTGAAAATCAATCTTCATTAGACATTACTCTGATAACGAAATACAGCCCCTTACACAAAAATAGTTACTTTCCAACTAAATATCTACTCCTTTGTCAAGGCCCTTAATACGGTGTCCAGTATAAGAAATATGGATTGAAAATTATGCAGTGACAATCAGTTTTTGATGGACTCTAAATATTTATTAATATATATATGTATTCACCCACCAAAGTTAAGCAACCTAGATAGATAGATAGATAGATAGATAGATAGATATGAACAAATTGGAATAGATAGAGAGGATACGTAATGACTGGGAGAGATTGAATGTATAGGTGGTGTAATGGATAACGGGCGGAATTGGAAACCGGAGAGGCGGGTTCCAATTCCAGTGGTGTTCATTATATCCACATACGCTCAAATACCTTTGGGGGAGGTGTAAATCCACCTCTTCTTCCCCCTAGCTAGGGGTTAATTAGTAGGACTTGTATCAGTAAATCGTTATTATCTACAAAAAAAATTTTAGAAAAAAAAATTCCCTGTAAAAGATTGATAAGCCTCAAAAAACAAAACCAATCATAAACACACACATGTATATATATATATATATATATATATGTGTGTGTGTGATTGGTTTTGTTTTATATATATATATATATTTGTGATTGGTTTTGTTTTTATATATATATATATATATATATATATATATATATATATATATACATCTCGAATTATTTTTAACAAACATTTAGATAGATAGATAGATAGATAGATAGATAGATAGATAGATAGATAGATAGATATGCAAAAGACTTGACAGACATATATATATGAAAAGACATATTATGTCCGTGTGCACGTGTGTGGCGGAGACAGTAATATTGATTTAAATATAGATAGATAGATAGCTAGCTAGCTAGCTAGCTAGCTAGCTAGATAGATAGATATTAAATTGGGATAGATAGCTAGATAGATAGATAGATTGATAGATGCGATTATTTTTTTTTTAGTGACTTTATCCAAATTAGGTAAGAATGTTTTAAATTAGTAATGTTATTTCTACTAAATTTTATTTCTACAAAAAGTAATTAATATTTGTCCGCAAATTTGTATTTGAATTTTTTCAGATAAAAGAAAAAAAAATTGTTACCTTTCTTTCTTTCTCTTTCTCCCTTTTTCATTGTCCTCTCTCTTCTTCACTTCTCTGTTTCTCTCTCTCTTTCCAGTGCGCACGCGCGCACTCACACACATACACACATGTGTGAGTCATTCAATTTCAAATTCACTGCAGTAATAACATTTTTCATAAGAAGCGATTTTAGAATAGATTTGCGATTATCCTTACGTGACCTGTACTTAAAATACCGTTTAAATATGCCATCACCAATCGACTTTGTCATAAATTAATCTCGCGTGCTTCCTACAAGGAGTGTCTAAATAATCGGGTAGGGTGGCTTTGTTTCTTAATATGCAAGAAAAAAGCCGGTCTTAATAAAAGGAGAGAATCGGGAAATCATTTAAACATTCAAAAAGTTCGAAATTAATAAACGGGGTAGTCAAAAAATAAACGAATAAATAAAAATAAATTATAAATAAACGAATAAATAAATAAATAAATAAATTATAAATAAACGAATAAATAAATGACAAAGTAAAAAAATTCTGTGTAACGCGTTTCGACCTCTAAAAAGACTTCATCAGAGTAAATAAATTCTTTTTTTGTTTGTTTGTTGATGATGGAATTATATATGTCTAGCTTGCAGAACTCTCTTCCAGCTCCTTGCTCCCCTGTCAACTTTGATCTACAAAAATTTAAATGCAATGCCAATCGTTATCTTCTGTCGTCATAATTTTTGTTCTTTTATTGTCGTCTCTCTTTATTTTTCTCATATTATCTATCAGTCACACACCCGTTGCGTCTTAAAGGCTTTATTGCCTTGCTTGGGATAAACTGATTTAAAAAATGACATGTGAATATATAAAAACGAAAACGTCGGTCATATTTAAAATAAAACTTAAAATTGTATCCCATAAAATAAAGAAACAAACGTCCACGTTATTCTGTTAGGTACTAAAGGCGATTTTTTAAGCGTAGCATAGATCTGGTGCAAGAACGAAAATATGGTAGAACACTGTGGGGATCGAACTCACTATTCTGTCGTAACAGATTTAACGAGATAAGAATGCTAAACATTACACCACAGCGAAGTGCCCCGACAGCGCGTTTAAGAAAATAAGTATTTGCTTTCATACATGACATTTTCAGCGACAAGCAAAAACCGTTTGACAAAATTCGGCCAATCCTGAGATAAATTCTATAGCTTTATCCACAGCGTTAAAAACTGGAAAAAAAAAAAAGTCGTGTAAGAGAGGAGATGGGCGTTTTTATATGGTTTAGTTTATATTTATTTATCCATCATTTTTAATTTTAATTTTCATTTCAGTTTTTTTTAATGCCACGAGGTGCAATTTTACACGATGATTTATGAGGTAAGTATTAAAATTAATTATATTTTAATACACATTTTTTAAAAGGCAGAGAAGTCTGCTTCCCCGGGGGAATTGTTTAAAACTTAAGAAATCACGACATGTCAAGAGAAAATTAAAT